TTGCCCATCAACATAAGGTTTCCTCTCTATACTTTTTTTTATTAATGCTTTCATGGTAATTGTCCGAATGTTCTCTTCACAATGGTACCTAGACTGTTTGAATTTAAGCGCAATACTAGACTGGTGGTGAGATCCCATCAATTTACAGTTGAGCTAGCTAGATGTGGTCATAACTTCTATGCTAACAGTTTCTTATCTCACACTTCTTACTTGTGGAACTCCTTCCCAGCTCCATGCCTTCCAGTCAACTTTAATCTGCAAAAGTGTTTAAATGTAATGTCAATTGATATCTACTGTCCTCATGATTGCTCTTTTCTCTTTCTCCTCATTACTAATGTTTCTATTCTTAATTCCTCCACACCCTGTAGCCCCTTGCATACTAGTGGCTGTACTGTCTTGCTTGGGGTGATACTAATTAAAAAAAAAAAAAGAAAAATAGTGTGGAAATTCAGCTATATGGGTAATGAAATAACTGGTAATTGAAAGTATAAGACAAGAATTTGAAATCACATAGAAATATCAAAAGGTATTTTTCAGAAACTGAATAAGATACAAAGTGATAAAAATTGACATTAAAAATGAAGAAAAGAGTGCTGCATTGCTATGTGAAGTCTAATCTCCTATATGACACTGAAAGCTGAACAAAGGAAGAAAAGACTTGAGGTAATCAAGATGTGTTTCTACCACCAAATATTACAAGAATACTATTATGAAGACATAGGACAAGTGAAGAAATTCTAATGAGAATAGGAAGTACAAAGAAATGGTTGTTAAAAAAAGAATCAACTTAGAGAACTTAACACTCACAGGATATATCAAATGCAAAATGAGCAGTCATGAGGAAGAAAGCGGACAAACACTTGCTGCCCTGTGTGAGTATAATTTTGCTCTACTGAAAACTCATTTTAATTTTTTTTCTATTTTCTTTAATTCTTTATTTTTTTAATCTTTAAAATTTTATTTTACTTAATTGTAATTTTTTCTCCCCCCTACTCGCCAGTGTGTCAGTGTAACGCATTTTGTCCTAATCATTCTAACCTATTTGATGGTTTAGTTAGAAATCCCAGTTTGAAAGAAAAATCAGAAAAAAAGGGAAAATTGAATGTCTTTGGCTAGATGCGAAAGTGTCTCGTCAGTATTCTCAGGATGTAGTTGGCTGAATCTTCTTGCTTGATAAATTGTCTGAACTTGGAATTGTTTTCGCCGTTTCTTTCTCCTGTTCTTAATTTTATTGAAAGCATGCCTCCCAAGCCCACTATTTGGTGAGGGCGGAGGATTGGGCATTGATCCCCCCCCCCCACCAAATTGATGCTTGGACTTAAGGTAAGTCGTACATTCACTTGTCATCATGAGGTAGAAAGCGGGCAAACACTCGCTGCCACGTATGTTGGGGCATTTATTATGACATAGCAATAAATCCGGATAACCTTATTTTCTTCAATTTCTTTTTAGAATAGACAATGGGACTTATACTAAGTTAAAACTTAATGTTGCGAAAGGGTAAAATCCAAGTGTCAGCTAGGACTCTTTGAAAATTAACCCCCCTCTCATCATTCCCTCTGTTTTTGTTGTTGTTGTATGTGTTATATATAATAGGAGTAGGTAGGCTTTCCTACCGCCCAGTCAACACTCCTCCCCCTTCTCTTGGACATGAGTAGAGGCTTACACCTTGTTTCTTGTTTAGGAAGGGGTTCCCGGTTCTCTCTCTCTCTCTCTCTCTCTGGCCTCTGTATTAGTGCAGCTCTGTTTCTCCCGTGATGTGTGCAGTCTGTGGCATCACCTCTTCATTCTGAGGGTACACGGCTGACAGTTGTCTGGTTGCTGTTTCCGACTGGTAGTTAGGAGCCCTAACTCTTGTGTAGCATCTTGAGCGGCCGCTCTGATCAACAGTTGTATAATACCGGGGTGTTTGTAATACCATGTCGTGCATGGAAAGGTGTCCCTGCAGTAACCTCTGGTGGGCAACCCTGAGGCCACATTATGATGCAGGTTGTGCCAACTCCTCTCTGCCCACGTCACGGTCAAAACTATCTGCTTCTTTTACTTCAGGCCTTCTCATCTTCCAACCAAAACTCCACATGACTTACAAAGATCCTAAACCAGCCACTCAAAAATCACCTAAACCCCTCAACATCTCGTTCTCCAACATCCGTGGCATTAGAACAAACTTCTGCAGTATGGAATCTTTCCTCACTGCAAACTGCCCGGATATACTGGCTCTCTGTGAGACCAACCTTGTCTCGTCTATCCACTCCTCTGATCTCTCTATCCCAGGCTACCTTCCTCTCCTCAGAAAAGACTCTATAACCCACATGCACGGCCTTGGTGTCTACGTCAAGGACTATCTCCCTCTGGCCAGAGAGTTGTCTCTCGAATCGCCAGACCAGTCATACATGTGTCTCTGACTATCTGTTCTCAATGCGGTAAGCTATCTCTTCTTCCTTTATGGCTCTCCATCCTCTCAAGACTGTGGGATACTCGATAACATTTCTGACAGCATAGACAAGGCTCTCTCCCTCCACCCGTTTGCTCACATATTTGTGTTTGGCGACTTTAACGCCCATCATACCTTGTGGCTTAAGAATGTTACTACTGACCACGCAGGCATTCAAACGCTCAATTTTTCAGTCTCCCAATCCCTCACACAGATAGTTAACTTCCCCACTCGTTTAGCCTTCAACCGGGAAGATAAAGCCTCTCTTCTCGATCTGTGTTTTACCTCCATCCTCGAGTCCTGTAGCGCCACGTAACTCTGCCCTCTTGTTAACTCTGATCATGCAGTAGTATCTGTTAACATCTCCTTCAACTCCACCCCCTGCAAAGAACCTCCTACCACTAGAACTTCGTTCTACTATTAACGAGTTGACTGGGACGCGTTCCGTGATTTCCTCCGCGATGTCCCCTGGGATCGTGTCTTTACGCTCCCCGTTCAAGAATGTGCTTCTGAGATCTCATCCTGAGTTAAAGCTGGAATCGACGCTTTCATCCCCTCAAGGAAATATAGGCTCAAGTCGCACTCCTCCCCCTGGTTCTCCACTGCTTGCTCAGCTGCCATCACCCATATGAACCATATCTTTCACCTATTCCATAGCGACATGTCGGACTCTAATAGACGTCTCTTTGCCTCCGCCCGTAACAAGTGTAAGCGTGTCCTCAACGATGCTAAGTCACTATTTGCTGCTCGGATCAAGGAGCGTATTGCATCTCGCAAATTTGGCTCCAAAGATTATTGGCGTCTCTGCAAGAGTGTATTGAACAAGTGCAAACCCTCTATACCTCCATTGTTCAACTAGTTCGAAGTCCTGACCTCCTCTGCCGACAAGGCTAAATGCTTTTACTCGGAAATTTTCATTCAACTCGACGCTCAACTCTTCCGGTGTACCCATACCCGATTTCCCTCTTAGAACTGAGGCCCTATTGAGTGGGTTACACATAACCCCGTCTTTGGTATTGGTCGTTATCTCCAATTTAGACCCCAACAAGGCTAGTGGTGGAGATGGGATAGCAGCCATTGTCTTGAAGAAATGTGCGCCTGAACTGGCGCCTGCCCTTTCTAAACTATACAACTACTGCCTCAAGGAATCTTATTTTCCTGACTGCTGGAAGTCGTCTTCGATTGTTCCTGTCTTCAAGAACTCTGTTGACCCCTCTGACCCTTCTAACTACCGTTCTATCAGTCTTCTACCCCTCTTCGGCAAAGTCTTCGAAGCCCTAATCAATACCACCTCACATCCCATGATCTGCTCTCAGACAAACAATATGGCTTCCGCTTTGCCCGATCTACAGCTGATGTGCTTACGGCCATCACTGAAACTGTCTACCGAGCTCTTCAAAATAACAGGGAAGCTCCAGGGTTATGGCATTACGGGTCGATTGTTTGACCTAATACAATCATTCCTGTCAAACCGTGAATTGAAGGTCGTTCTCAACGGATTCTCCTCCAGTTTCTATCCCACGAACACAGGTGTTCCTCAAGGCTCCATCCTAGGCCCCACTCTATTCCTTATCTACATAAATGACCTTCCTGACGCCATAAATTCCCAAGTTGGCATCTACGTGGATGACACCACAATTTATTCCTGCCTCAAAAACAAATCTAGTGTCACTGACAAAACTAACCTGGCCGTGCGTCTCGAAAAGGACCTCCAATTGGTTGTGAACTGGGGCAGGAATTGGCTGGTCAACTTTAATGCTTCAAAAACAAAACTGCTTTCTATTAATCACCACAGAGATCCTTCCCTGCCCTCCATTAGAATGTCTGACGCTCAACTTCTCGAGAGCAACTCTTTGCGGCTGCTCGGTCTCACGTTGACGGCTGACCTGAGATGGAACAAATACATTGAATCAATTGCTTCGTCCACTGCAAGGAAAGTTGGCTCCCTGTGCCGCGCCAGGAAATTTTTTTCCCCAGAATCGATCCTCCAGATCTACAAATCAACAATTCGCCTTTGCATGGAGTATTGCTGCCATATATGGTCTTGAGCCCCTTCTGTTTGCCTCGGGGTTCTTGATAGGCTCCAGAGGCGGATATGCAATATAATTGGCCCTGCTCTGGCGACAGTCACTTTCTCACAGACGTGCCGTCGCCTCTCTCTGTCTTTTTTACAAATACTTTCATGGCAATTGCTCCGAGGAGCTGCATTCGCTGGTTCCCAGACTTCATGAATTCAAGCGCTCTACGAAGCTGGCATCCCGCTCTCACCCCTTCACTGTCGAAACTCCTAAATGTAGCCATCTCTTCTACTCCAATAGCTTCATGTCTCGCACCTCTCACCTGTGGAACTCCCTTCCCTATTCCAGTTTCCCTGAAAGCTATAATCTCCAGCTATTCAAATGTAATGTCAATCGACATCTCCAGTTGCCTTGATCTATCCACTACCCTCATCCTTTCTTCTATCACTCCTATCTGATCTTGCTCCAAATTTTCTGTAACCCCTTGCATCCTAGTGGCTTCCCGCCTTGTTTGCGGTGAAATGCTTAAAAAAAAATGACTAACCTACTCAAGAAGAGGAACAAGGACCATAATGGTAAAGAGGACTTGTAAAGAAGTATGTATTGATGAAAACAAGAAAAAACGGGAAGCTGTGGAGAACCATGATCATCTAAGTACATAGAGAGATGTGCCAATAGTAAGTGGACTACTGAGAAATAATTAAAATAATGGCAACACAATTTTTAATATGAATGGAATATCTCATCAAAACAAAGTTGAAAAAATTCAAATGAACACAGGCTTAAGGATAATGTCGCATAAAGCTCATCTGTTTCCAGCTAGCAATTTAAAAATATGAGAAATTTTGCCTGATCACTTTATAGAAAGCAGTTATATTTAAATCATAGAAAAGAAAGTTGATGCCTACTATGTGCAGATAGTTTGCGTGTAGGAAATTCTGTCATCTAGCTTTTTTTTATATTAAAAATCCAAACATCTGAATTCCAAACAACAATAAAATAAAAACAAAGAAAACATGGGGGTATGTCTGTTAAATAAATCAATTGTATTTACAAATATATGTACATGAATTCAAAGGAGTCAAAAAGTATTAAAAATACTTAATTGAGTTAAAGTCTTTGGGTAGTTGGTTTACAGAAAAATCTGAGGTTTAGAAAATACTTTCATCATTAGCAAAGATTTACTGACCATCTTTGTTGTTGTTGTTGGAGATGATTCATTTGAAGTCAACAACATGTTTTTTTCAGCATATACTAGGAGAAAGGAAAAACTATGTAGTCATGTTTTCTCTTGTGTTTAAATGACTTGGAGACAAATGCATCTTTGCTCTGAAAGTCAAAATCTGTAGGTTTTTATAAGAAATTTTTCCCACAAAGTAAGCTTGAGAAGCATAGGGTCTTAGTTTTTTCTGATTGGTCAAATATTTCACATGGTGATATTAATTTCTAATAACTTTTTAATAATATCTTTGATTTAAATGGTGTGTGTTGTATTGTGGAATCTTTTTGGTACATTTGTTAATATTGCCTGTTATTAGGCAGAAAATATAGCTTTGATGTGTTTTTATGTGGTATGTATGTGAGTATGTAATTGTGTTGGAAATAGCGTTTCTTTCCTGTATGCTTACTGATATTGCAGAAAAATACAAGGAATTAACTTGAAACAGAGGCAGTGATGTGCAGAGGTTTTGTGATACCTGGGGCCAACTTATTGATTGCAAGCTTATAAGAAAATGAAAGATGAAAATAAATGTCATGGCAAGAAATGAGAATTGAAACACTACTTACAGTATATTTGGGGTTTTATTCAGGGTGGGTAGATTGGTAACCCTTGGAACCATTTCTGTCATGTTGGACTAACAGATCAGCTGTTTCTTTTGACTCTTCCTCCTACCAATTCTCTGCCCATCTCAATATTATGATGTGTGGCTGACAACATAAACAATCTGTCCCCTACCAAGACTGGACCAGAACTGATTTTTCAATTCCAACAGTGACTGTTAATATAGAGGGGCAAAAATCTGGGAATCCTCAATCTCTGGTTTTGTTGTCACTTTACCCTGAAATACCTCATTTATTATTTTATTCTCTTTTGGTTGTGAGTAACTGCTTTGAAGACTGTATCTTACAGAAATGTTGCTAGTCATAAATTGCAAAATTTGAAGCCGGGATAAAAACTTACACCTTCTTCCTCTATGTGGACGTCCTAGCTAGTTTTAAAAACAAACTTTCAAAATCCTGGCCTTTTACTTGTGCTCAAACACCAACCAGTAGAATCCATGGTAAATATGTAATTATTTTAACCATAAGGCTAATTAATATTAGATTTGTTATACTTTTGCTTAAAGCAAAGACATTCTATAAACACAGCTTAAAATTGTTTGTTTGACATTTAAACTAGATTGTAATGGAATAGAATAAAATCAGTTGTTTATGCATGCCAAACAGTTTCAGTGGTTGAAGTGGATCCAAGTTTACTATCAAGAAAAGTTGAGAGGATTTATACACATAGAGTGTACTATAATATTCACATATATATAATATAAAAACAAATATCATTGCTAGCAAGTATCTAAGTAAAACAGATTTTGTATTTATATATGAGATGCCATAAAAAAAGTTGAGAGGATTTACACAGATAGAGTGTACTAGACTATTCACATATGTCTCATAATCCATTCACTTGGAAGATACTTCTTCTAATATTTTTAAAAGTTTCCCTGAGTTTTTGGGTAGTACCTTGTCTTGCTCTCCCTCACATGCATTCAATTGCTGATACCCCCTGACGAGTGTATAGAGTGATTGATGGAGGGTTTACATGGATGATTTCCAAGCAACGATAAACACTTGCATATAAGACACTGGTAACGAAAATTGCACCACAGCTCATGATGTCACACATGACCACACGAGAGTGAATTCGAGAAGTATTAAGTATGGGAAGCCGTTGGTATAAACCAATGGCTTCTGTTACCAATTATAGACATCAGGCTGCTGAAGATAATATCAATCAGCTAAGTGACAAATTTTATATTTGTATTAATCCTATATATATATATATATATATATAATAATTAATGCATAACAATTAATATGCATAGAAAACAGAAAAAGAATTGATTTAATAGAAATAAATCCTATTTATCCATTTTAATAGGTGAAAAAAATATTCGTACAATACAAAAAAGAATACATAATCTTCATTTAATACTTTGTAGAAGAGCCATTATTCATTTCTACAGCAACCAACCTCTTCTTGTAGTTCTCGATTAATGATTTACACATTTTATTTGGTATTTTGCTCCATTCTTCTTCACATGTGGTTTTCAGATCCAGGATGTTTGTTGGAGCTCTCATTTGGATTTTAATTTTCAAATACCCTCACAGATTCTTGATTAAGTTTGAATCTAGGAACTGACTTGGTCATTTCATTAGTTGGGAATACAATAAATTAAAAATTTGTATTTGTACAAATATTTGTTTCCCCACACTGTATATATGAGTGGGGGGATTCTCAGCCCAAACATGAAGGGATTACCCCCAAAAGTTCTAATGGTTGAATATTTGTTCAGAATTTGGGAAGTGGATTGGACCAGTAACTGCATATGAAAATATATACATATATATTTCACATTACTATAAATATTATATTTTAGTGGGTACATGTATTTGATTACTATCCTTGATTTTATTTTCAGTGAAGTTAATTACCTATTTAATTTTTCTTTAGTAGAACTTTTCAATCTAGGCCAGTTGTTACTAATTTCACTGTTTAAGTAAATAAGAAACAAAGATATCAACTCAAATATATGTGTACCTGTTAAAAAAATAATGCTTATAGCAATAAGAAATTTTAGGAAAAGCAATGACAAAGTGTAAAAACGTTTTTATGCAGTATATTTCATCCTTTAGGACTTCACTGGACGAAAGTGATATTTGCATTGATGTGATTACATATGCACATGAAGGAGTGGAGACCATGAAATTTGAAATTTAATTCTTTTTTTAAATATGTGTTTGGGTACATAGTTTAACCAATTTCATTTATATTCATTTTCTTTTTGTTTATGGTTTTATCACATTTGTTATTAAATATTCAACATTGTGATAATAGAAGATCTGTCAAGAAAGGTAAAATCTTGTAAGAACCTGGATGTAAAACTGCAGTGGATAATCTAACAATTAAATTAATTTCTATACATTTTCAGCTTAGTAAATTTATTTCTCTTTTAATTAAAGTAGCATTTTTTAAATCAAAATTATGGTCAGACTCATTATTGTGAGTAACTAATACATTGTGTGTATTGTTTTGTAACAATCTGTTTTGTGTTCATACAATCTTTTATTTAAATTCCTTGAAGTTTCTCCAGTGTATTTCTTGTGACAATTATTACAGGTGATAGAATAAATTCCTGCATCAAGTTTTAGCTTATTGTATTTTGTATTACTCATGTATCATATGTCTTCATCCATAATACGCACTCAAAAATTTGTGCTGAAAGTGTGGGAAAAAGTTTCTACTCACACATAATATGCACTCCTTGTTTGGTAATCAAACCCTATAAATTGTACCTCTACAATTTCATTACAGCCAGCATTTCCTACTCTTATTAAAAACAAATATTTTTAAACATAGAATAATATTATTCTAATTTAGTTTTATGATAATTCTTATTTTATTTTACATTTGTAATTATTGTTAGGTGCATATGATTGTATTTGACATCTTATGGTGTCACAATCGTTGAATTTTAGTGTCAAATTGTCATATGTTTTTGGTGAGCTTAAATTGACCTAAGAAACAGCAATTTTTTAACATGCATTCTAATTTTGTTTATTTTTTAGAAAAAATGCATATTATACATGGGGAATTATAGTAAGTCTTTTATTGTTTTAGAAGTAGATATAACAAATTTAGGCATAAAAGAAAAAAGTGTTTCAAAGAGATGGTTTTTCCCTTGACACCACTATTATTTTAACTATGTTCACTCCCTTGGCAATGTTTATTTGCACAATTATAAAAAAATTATTTACCATTTATAAAGATTTATTTTTTATCGTTTTATAAAGAAATAAATGTGAAAAGAAATCTTTTTATTCAAAAATTAAAAGTAAATTACAAATTTATCAAAATATGTAAACCATCTACAATAAGTTTTAGAACATCAACTAATTAACAATTTTACCTATCTTCACTCCCTCAGAAATGTTTGTTGTTTTAAAAAGTGATAATTAAAATTTTAATAAAACCCAAAAATATGAAATTGAATTTATACATTTTCTTTGTTCTTTGAGAATATACAACAAAAATATTAAATACTGTTTATTGATTAGATTGTTTATTTACAAAAATAATTTTATATCTACAACATTCTTAAAAATGCAAACCAACTACTACAATACAATGTTTATCATTTATCAATTTATAAAGAAATAAATGTGAAAATAAATATTTTTATTGATAAATTTATAAAAAATATCTGTTAACAAGAAAATTTACATAATGTTGATTAACTGTAGTTACAAATTTTGAAAAAATACATTTTCTAGGTATTTCTTTCATTTACTCTCACCATAAATTCACTAAAATAGGTTGAGAGCATTTCTTCTGAACCAAATATTCTTTTTATTTTAGATTTTGGGTGAGACTACAAACACTC